GTCTTTAATTTCTTGGCTAAAAATTTTAGAACAGTCATTGAATGTTCTGTGTTTCTGACAAGCTTCCAGGTAATGCTGATGCTGCCCATTTTCGAATAGCAAGGCTTCAAGGAAGTCTTATTATTTGAAAAGACAGTCTTACAATAAATCTTAGGATATTTCATTGCACCATATACTAAAAAAAAAAAAAAAAAGAGTGAAGAAGAAATTCCCACATAAATGCAAATCTCTTTATAAATGGGCATATGTTATTTAATCCACTTTAGCGGGAATTAGTTTGTTTCTTTATTCTTACAGAAGTGTTCAGGAGGCAGTGTGATGTAGAAAAGCCCTGGCCATTCTCTGTGCTCTCTCTTACTGACTGGGTTTGAATATGCTCTGTTCCTTTGGAGGTAGACTGCATCTGTAAAATGGGATGACTATTTTGCCCTCATAGAGAATTTATTTTAGTACTGAATACAGAAATGCTTCTCACAGGGTAGGTGCTCAGTAATTATTTTCTTCTCTCTTTCTCATCATATCTTTTGAAGAATTTATTTCTATATTTATAAATAACTAACATTTTTACATTCAAACCAACTTTATATCTGGTTATCATTTCTTCTTGTATTCTGAACAATACAGTTTAGTAATTTAGTTTTATTACTGTAATGCAAGCTAATAAACTTTCATTTGTTTAAAAAGTATTTTATGTGTGGCTGGGGAGGTGGCTCAAGCCGTAACGTGCTTGCCTGGCATGCGTGGGGCGCTGGGTTCGATCCTCAGCACCACATAAAAATAAAATAAAGATGTTGCGTCTACCGAAAACTAAAAAATAAATATTAAAAAATTCTCTCTCTCTTTCTCTCTCTTTAAAAAAAAGTATTTTATGAATACTTTTCTTCTAGGCTACAGTGATCTTCATTTCAGTGACTTTGAACAATCAAGGAAGCTTTGATAGTGAGAATAATACTGGTATTAAATTGGACATTGAGAGTTAGAGCTATCTGCTACTAATAATATTTGTCAAATTATCTCACATCAGTTTCCTCAGATAAAATGAGGACAATGTTTTTTCTCTCAATGAGATGGTGTAAAAGTAAGTGTAAATAAATATAAAAGTACCCCATGCTAGAGAATAATGAATCACCACTATTAACTACTAAGTATCCTTTGCTTAGTTTGCTTACTTCCTCCTGGTTTTCTTCATCATAAATATTCTTGAACAGTTTGGTACAAGTTTGTACACATGCATTTTATTTCCCAGGGGACATATTTATATTTTCCCCCATTTAATAGAGAACAATTCATGTCATTTTAACCAATGAAGAAAACTGAACTATAATGAGATTAATGATCATTGGCCTTAAGTCCACGTGGTGATTACACAGTGATTTAATAACAAAAGTTTTTTTTTTTTTTTTTTAATCTTAGCATAGTGTTTCATGATACATGGGGAAATGAATTCAAGGAGAAGTGATAAAAATAAAAGCAAAGCAATAAAGTAAACCAAAACTCATTAACTGAAAGAAATCACCTTTATTTTAAAATTGTATAAATCTTAAATTTCTGATTTTTGATGTTAAAATACTGTTTTAAAAAGTAAATAGAGGGTGCGAGTGATTTTCAAGTGCCTTTACTTTAAAACATTTCCATTAATTTTTTAAAAAATAATTCATAACTTCCCAACATCTAAGTACCATTTTCGAGAATAGAAGAATACCACCTTAAACAAGTGGCGGTACTTGGGTTATCTAGAGAATGTGCATACAGGAAGATGATTACTATTCAGTAGAAGATGATATTTAGAGATTTCTCTACTCATCTTTTAGTTTTTCTTTTTATTTTCTTCCTCCCTTCCCCCACCTCCCTCCTTCCCTCTCCCTCTCCTTTCTCTGATATTCATGAGATAAAGATACAGTAGAAAGATTTTGAAGTGACAAGTCTGTGTCCTAGTTTGCAATCTACCCTAACTGTAGACCAAAGGGAAATATAAAACAAAGTGGAGTTTGGGACCAAGAAAACAAACAAAAGCAAATGCCAAAAAGCTAAGGAGGGAAGCCAACATTTACCAGCTTCTGTTCCTCATTCATTTTAACTACTTCCCCTTTATCTCCCATCTCTTTGGGTCTTTATCTTTTGGGTATTTCTTCACTTCTATTACACCAAGGGGTGCAGTATTTAAGTGAGAGATTCTTCTTAATAAAATGCAACGTTCTTTTCAATCATCTGCTGTATAAGAGTCTTTTCTCACCCTTATCCTCCAGGAAGCCTCGTTGCATTTGCACCTTAGCGATTCATTCGTGTTCAAAAATCCTGGAGCTAGTTATCCTGTTGTTTTAATCTCCCAGCACTCAGCAATGTGCCTTCAGATACAGCTTGCACTGGTAGCGCCCAGATATACAGGACAGAAGTGTCAGCTGTTCTATCCAGAAAGGTGCCATGTCTCCCATCCCCTTTACAGGACTCACCCTAACTTATTATCCTCCCCCTGGAGTATCTGATCTAACCCATCTCCCTATGCTTAGACTCTTCTTCAGAGACACCTTTCACAATGCAACCAAATCGCTTCATCAAGTAACCCATCTGACAAAACCATCCTCATATTTCCAGACTCTTCAAGAGCTCCCTACTTACTCTGTCCACTTGATAAAATATTTATTTTTTTGCCACTGAATTCTAGACCTCTGTTAACCAACCCATCTTTACACAATTCTCTTCTTACTAGGTGTGCCCTTCTCATTTGGCCCTGCTAAATTGCTTCCAAGGACTTAGTTTATCGTTTATTTCTGTGTGAGCTTGCCCCACACAACTCTTTTTCAATAGCGAGCCCTCAAAGATTCAGCTCTAAAGTCATCTTCTGTTTGACTTGAGATAATCAATACTGAGTTATTCATGTAAATTAAATGCTTATTAAATTTTAGATTTTTAGTTACTCAGTAGAGAAGAGATATGTGACTCATAGCAGTCAAATGCTGTAGTTATATGCATATGGACACTGGTATTTATATCAAGTGGATCTATGAAGGATATTATTTAATATTCATCTTTATACAATAAAAATGTTTTAGGTAAAAGATGTGTGATTAGTGAGACAGATTGAATAGCACCCTTTAAAATGGCAGGTTCACGGAGATCTTTATCAATACTTTCTTTCTATGTCCAGTGTTATGGTCTGAATTGGACCGTCCTCCAAAGACTCAGAAACATAAAGCATTGGTCCCTAATACAGTGATGTCCAGATGTGGGCTTGTAGGAAATGATTGAATCATGAGGGCTTTACCTTACCAGTGGATTGATCCATTTGATGGATTAATTATTTGAATGGATTATTGGGCAGTGGGACCTAGTTGGGGGAAGTAGGTCACTGGAGGCATGCCCTGGAAGGGTTTATCTTGTCTTTGACTCCTTATTCCTTATTTTCTCTCTCTCTCTCTCTCTCTCTCTCTCTCTCTCTCTCTCCTTCCTTGTTGCCATGAGCTGAGAAACTTTCTTCTTCCAGGCCCCTCTGCCATAAAGTTCTGCCTGTTCTTGGGCCCACAGCAATGGAACCAGCTAATAATGGACTAAAACCATAAACCAAAATAAACTTCTCCCCCTTTTAAAATTCTTTTTTCTCAGTTACTTGTCACAGAGACAGAAAGTTGACTAACATATCTAGTTAATATTTACCTGTTCATACTAGTAGCTATAAAGGCTATGCCCTCTTGTCCTTCTTATGCCTCTGACAGTTGTGATGCTGACAGCATGGGAAATAGTCTTTAGAGACAAACCTTCCTGAATCAGAGCTTGCAGGTAAGAGAGAAGTGACATGATAGAAATGAACTGTGCTAACAGGAGAATAACTTGGGCCTCTAGATGGACCAGAATCCTGCCCTTCAGAGTAGTCAAATGGCCATCACTCATGGATGTTGAGTTTTTGTGTATTCTTTTAATGCTCAGTTGGGATTTCCAACATGGCCATGACCTTCTTGTGTGGGTAAAGAAGCACATCTATTGGCAGAATGATACACCTGTCTAGGTCTGGAATGGAATGATAACATTTGCCCAAAACTCTTAGAAGTGTGATTTGTCTTTTGACTTTTATTTCTATGATTCATTCCAATGATTCAAATTTGCTAATGTTGGTATTTGTTGAATATTTATTACATTTCAGATACTTATCTAGGTATTCAAGTGCATTGATTCATTTAATCTTCATAATAATAATAATGATTAGCTTTATTTTACAGAAAAGAAAATGAGGCACAGAGAGGCTAAGCACTCTATTTCATTATATCTAAAATGCAGATTGTTTTTTTACACATTAACGTCTCCAAAATGAGATGTGCATCAGTCAGAGCCACAGCAGGAAGCAAGTTACACACCCTAACTGGGTAATTTGAGGAGTTTAAGAAAGAGGTGTGTATTTTACAAAGATATGGTCAATGTTTAGGAAAAATAATAAGAGATACTGAAGGTCTGTGAAGCTTGCCACCTCTGTGAGACATTCCACTCCTTAGCCTCAAGTTTCAAGATAAAGGAATGTAGAGAAAGTAGGATTTTTGTATGTTTTGTTGTTTTTTTTTTTAAAGAGAGGTCTGGCTATAAGACAGTGGTTAAAGTAGTGAGATATAGAAACCCATGGCATCCCCACAGGAATAACATTCTGACCTTATTATCTGCCTAACCTCTGACCTACACTTAATTCCCTTTTACTGCCAGTGTTTTCACAGGGCACAGAAAAGATTGCACAGCGAGGAAACAGTAGTGGCAGCATATGAAGTCAGATGATCTAATTACAGAGGCATTCCCTTAACTGATATTCACCAACAATCCTCACTAACCATTCATAAACTCTTGGTTTGTAAAAATTAAACTTGAATCAATTTTCTGTCTTATCAATGGTCTTCAGAGGTGTCCCTTCTTTCAAGGGAAAATAAAACTGAAGCCTGCAAAACCAGCGGAATAGATATTCTGGGCCCCAGGAGGAAATTGCATCACTGAGCATGAACCTCAGATTAACAGGATGGTGACTATGAGGAGAACATACCACTGGGTGGATGGCAATTTGTCTCAGGCAACTTGCTCTGTTTTACATTTAGGAACAAGAGTCTGACAGGAGGTAAGTACGCTTATAGTTACTGCTCTGATTTTGAAAACTTCATTCACTCAATTAGCTCCTCAGGAAATTTTAATTGAATTATATTGGATTTTCATATTCTGTCCTTCAATTTATTACCTCTTTCATAGTTTCCTCCTTGCTATATTTTATTGTTGCAGTAAGATTGTTCTCAGATCAATCTTTCACTTTACTATTTCCTTTTAACTATCTACACTTTTTTAAAATCCATCATTGAGATTTAATGTCAGTGACTTTATGTTTTAGTTCTTTGTTCTTTCAGTTTGCTTTCTTTTCTTTTTTAAAATTATCTTAATCATGTTATTTGATGATGGTCTTCATACTGCCCCATTATTTCTAGTTTTTGTGTTGCCAATTCTCCTCTTGATTGCTGTAATAGAATTATGGAATTATAGAGCAGACAGTGACTGTTGTATGGTAAATAGATTGGGAAGAACCCAAAGAGTACTTTGCAAATGAGATGAATTTTATACTAGGCCTAAAGGGTAGGTAGATATTTCAAAAGTTAATCAGGGGGCTGGGGCTCAAGTGGTAGCGCGCTCGGCTGGCATGCGCAGGGCGCTGGGTTCGATCCTCAGCACCACATAAAAATAAAAAAGAAAAAAAATAAAGATGTTATGTCCACCGAAAACTAAAAAAAAAAAAAAAATATTAAAAAAATTCTCTCTCTCTCTCTCTCTCTCTCTCTCTCTCAAAAAAAAGTTAATCAGGATGATACAGTCAAAAGAGGACATTCTAAGTAAAGATTTTTGCATATACAAACAGAGAATCATGAAATCTCATGTTGGCTAGAGAAGGAACATAATGCAGTGGGTGGGTGGTGAGTAGAGCAGAGGTAACAAGGAGCTTCAGAAGCAGATAGATACCATAGATGAGCCCCAGGGGCCAAATGGGACTGTGGTGAAATGCAGAGCCATACTAGGTAGAAAGGGTGACAGAAGGTACAAGAGTAATTTAATTTTTCAGCTCCAGCTGATGATTTACATTTGACTATGAGAACCTGGCATTACCAGACCTTTGTTTCTCAAGAAAACCTGACATCTATATTTTATATAAACCTTTTCTAATTTAAAAAATTATATTAGCTCAAAACAAATATAAAGATCTATATAGTTCAGATTAGCCCAATCTTTTAAATCTCTGGCCTGGATATAAAACATGACAAATAAAGGTCCAATTGTAAAAAGCCATGTATGCTGTTCTCAGAAGTTTAGATTTTACTCAGTAGGCCACAGAAAGGAATGGAGGATCTCAAGTAAAGGAATGGCATAACCACAAAATATTTTGCTTGTTTTATTATTATTATTTTTTAGTGGACTAGAATTAAAACAAGACAATGTCAAGGAGATCAGGGTGGAACCTATTTTAATAGTCTGAGATGAGTATAATTGTTGGGCTTGGATATAAACAAACAGAAAACAGAATATTCAGAATACTTAGAAGATATTTTAGTTATAGGATCAACAAAAATTTTATATCGATTAAACATGGAAGTTCAGTAGGGGTTGCTGATGACAGGGGTATTTTCCTCAATGTGGGTGACATTGCCATTGATCACCAAAAGAACACAGTTTGGATAAATAGATTTTGAGATGAGTTGGAAATGCAGGTTTGAAGCATAGGAAATAATGAATGAGATTCCGACTTGTAAGTTATTTTCTCCTAAGTTATGGATAAGCCTAGGAGCAGATGAACATTTCCTGGGAAGAAGATTGCATTGGATAGAGAAAGACACAGGATGGAATCTGAAGAATGTCACATTTTTAAGGTGTGGGACAGAGAAGAGAGACTAAAACAAGAGAGGAAGTACAGTTCTACTTCGTGGAGAAATAAAATCAATGGAAACCAATTATAGAGTTTGGAGGAAAAAAAGTTGCAAGTATTTCAAGTTCCTTAAAGAGATTAGGTGGAATAGTAATTTAAAATACCCTTCAGATTAACCAGCACAAAGGCAATTTCAATAGAGTGTTGTGAAGAGTAGCAGCACTATGTCGGAATGACAGGGTTAGTCTTCTGCTTTTCTTCTTTGAATTACTGTGAAACATATCTGGAAACATTTTGAAATATGTCAGGTTTCTTTGTGCAATATCATAGTATTAACAAGATGCCAAAAAATGTATGCTAACAGATTCCCCATTTATATATCCATGTATACCTCCAACCCTCCACCCTGCAAAGATCTTCCTTCTTTTTTACATTTTTAAATTTTTTTATTTTTTAAAAAAAATTTATTTATTTTTTATTTATATATGACAGTGGAATGCATCAGCAAATCTTATTACACATATAGAGCACAATTTTTCATATCTCTGGTTGTATACACAGTATATTCATACCAATTTGTGTCTTCATACCTGTAATTTGGATAATAATGATCATCACATTCCACCATCATTAATAACCCCATGCCCTCCTTTCCCCTCCAATCCCTCTGCCCTATCTAGAGTTCATCTATTCCTCCCATGCTCCCCCTCCCTATCTCACTATGAATCAGCCTCCTTATATCAAAGAAAACATTTGGTATTTGGTATTTTGGGATTGGCTAACTTCACTTAGCATTATTTTCTCTAAATCCACCCATTTACCTGAAAATGCCATGAATTTATTCTCTTTTATTGCTGAATAACATTCCATTGTGTATGTATGCCACATTTATTTTATCCATTCATCTATTGAAGGGCATCTAGGTTGGTTCCACAGTTTAGCTATTGTGAATTGTGCTGCTATAAACATTGATGTGGCTGTATCCCTGTAGTATGCTGTTTTTAAGTCTTTTCGGTATAGACCGAGGAGAGGGATAGCTGAGTCAAAAGGTGGTTCCATTCCCAATTTTCCAAGAAATCTCCATACTGCTTTCCAGATTGGCTGCATCAATTTGGAATCCCACCAGCAGTATATGAGTGTACCTTTTTCTCCACATCCTCACCAACACTTATTGTTGTTTGTATGCTTAATAGCTGCCATTCTGACTGGAGTAAAATGATAGAGTAGTTTTGATTTGCATTTCTCTAATTGCTAGTGATGATGTACTTTTTTCATGTATTTGTTGATTGATTGTACATTATCTTCTGAGAAGTGTCTGTTCAGGTCCTTGGCCCATTTATTGATTGGGTTATTTGTTTTTTTGGTGTTTAGCTTTTTGAATTCTTTATATACCCTAGAGTTTAATGCTCTATCTGATGTGTGAGAAGTAAAGATTTGCTCTCAAGATGTAGACTCTCGATTCACCTCACTGATTGTTTCTTTTGCTGAGAAAAAAACTTTTTAGTTTGATTCCATCCCATTTATTGATTCTTGATTTTAATACTTGTGCTACAGGAGTCTTATTAAGGAAGTTGGGGCCTAATCCCACATGATGAAGGTTAGGGCCTACTTTTTCTTCTATTAGACACAGGGTCTCTGGTTTTATCCTAAGTCCTTGATCCATTTTGAGTTGAGTTTTGTGCATGGTGAAAGAATAGGTTTAATTTCACTTTGTTGCATATGGATTTCCAGTTTTCCCAGCACCATTTGTTGAAGAAGCTATCTTTTCTCCAATGCATGTTCTTGGCACCTTTGTCTAATATAAGATAATTGTAGTTTTGTGGGTTAGACTCTGTGTCTTCTATTCTGTACCGTTGGTCTACCAGTCTGTTTTGGTGCCAATTCTGTGCTGTTTTTGTTACTATTGCTCTGTAGTATAGTTTAAGTTCTGGTATAGTGATGCCACCTGCTTCACTCTTCCTGCTAAGGATTTATTTGGCTATTCTGGGTCTCTTATTTTTCCAGACGAATTTCATGACTGCTTTTTCTGTTTCTATGAGGAATGCCATTAGGATTTTGTTCAGAATTGCATTAAATCTGTATAGTGCTCTTGGAAGTATGGTCATTTTGATAATATTAATTCTACCCATCCAAGAGCAAGGTAGATCTTTCCACCTTCTAAGGTTTTCTTTGATTTCTTTCTTTAGGGCTGTGTAATTTCCATTATATAGATCTTTCAGCTCTTTTGTTAAGTTGATTCCCAAATATATATATTTATATTTTGAGGCTACTGTAAATGGGGTAATTTTTCTTGTTTCCCTTTCTGAGGATTTATCACTGATATACAGAAATGCATTTGATTTATGGGTGTTGATTTTATATCCTGCTACTTTGCTGAATTCATTTACTAGTTCTAAAAGTTTTCTGGTGGAACTTTTAGGGTCTTCTAGGTATAGAATCATATCATCAGCAAATAGTGCCAATTCTTCTTTCCCCATGTGTTTCCCTTTAATTTCTTTCGTCTAATTGCTCTGGCCAGTGTTTTAAGAACTATGTTGAATAGAAGTGGTGAAAGAAGGCACCTCTGTCTTGTTCCAGTTTTTAGAGGCAATGCCTTCAATTTTTCTTCATTTAGAATGATGTTGGCCTGGAGCTTAGCATACATAGCCTTTACAATATTGAGATACATTCCTGTTATCTCTACGTTTTCTAGTATTTTAAACATAAATAGGTGCTGTATTTTGTCAAATGCTTTTTCTGCATCTATTGAGAAGATCATATGATTCATATCTTTAAGTCTATTGATGTGACGAATTACATTTATTGATTTCCTTATGTTGAAACAATCTTGCATCCCTGGGATGAATCCCTCTTGATCATGGTGCACAATCGTTTTGATATGTTTTTGTTTTTGATTTGCCAGAATTTTATTGAGAATTTTTGCATCTATGTTCATTACAGATATTGGTCTGAAGTTTTCTTTCTTTGATGTGTCTTTGCCTGGTTTTGGAATCAGGGTGATATTGGCCTCATAGAATGAGTTTGGAAATGCTGCCTCTTTTTCTATTTTTTGAAATAAATTGAAGAGTATTGGTATAAGTTCTTCTTTAAAGGTCTTGTAGAACTCGGCTATGTATTCATCTGGTCCTCGGCTTTTCTTGGTTGGTAGACTTCTGATGGCGTCTGCTATTTTGTCACTTAAAATTGATCTGTTTAAATTGTGTACATCATCCTGATTC